GAATGCTGTGATCACCAATAGTCAGCATGGATTTCTGAAAAATAAGTCATGTCAGACTAACCTGATCTCGTTTTTGACAGAATTACAAGCCTGGTGGATGAAGGGAACGCAGTGGATGTAGCCTACCTTGATTTCAGCAAGGCATTTGACAAGGTGCCTCATGATATTCTTGTAAAGAAGCTGGTAAAATGTGGTCTTGACTATGCTACCACTCAGTGGATTTGTAACTGGCTGACTGACCGAACCCAAAGGGTGCTCATCAATGGTTCCTCTTCATCCTGGAGAAGAGTGACTAGTGGGGTGCCACAGGGTTCTGTCTTGGGCCCGGTCTTATTCAACATCTTTATCAACGACTTGGATGATGGACTCAAGGGCATCCTGATCAAATTTGCAGATGACACCAAATTGGGAGGGGTGGCTAACACCCCAGAGGACAGGATCACACTTCAAAACGACCTTGACAGATTAGAGAACTGGGCCAAAACAAACAAGATGAATTTTAACAGGGAGAAATGTAAAGTATTGCACTTGGGCAAAAAAATGAGAGGCACAAATACAAGATGGGGGACACCTGGCTTGAGAGCAGTACATGTGAAAAGGATCTAGGAGTCTTGGTTGACCACAAACTTGACATGAGCCAACAGTGTGACGCGGCAGCTAAAAAGCCACTGCAATTCTGGGCTGCATCAATAGGAGTATAGCATCTAGATCAAGGGAAGTAATAGTGCCACTGTATTCTGCTCTGGTCAGACCTCACCTGGAGTACTGTGTCCAGTTCTGGGCACCACAGTTCAAGAAGGACATTGACAAACTGGAACGTGTCCAGAGGAGGGCAACCAAAATGGTCAAAGGCCTGGAAACGATGCCTTATGAGGAACGGCTAAGAGAGCTGGGCATGTTTAGCCTGGAGAAGAGGAGGTTAAGGGGTGATATGATAGCCATGTTCAAATATATAAAAGGATGTCACATAGAGGAGGGAGAAAGGTTGTTTTCTGCTGCTCCAGAGAAGCGGACACGGAGCAATGGATCCAAACTACAAGAAAGAAGATTCCACCTAAACATTAGGAAGAACTTCCTGACAGTAAGAGCTGTTCGACAGTGGAATTTGCTGCCAAGGAGTGTGGTGGAGTCTCCTTCTTTGGAGGTCTTTAAGCAGAGGCTTGACAACCATATGTCAGGAGTGCTCTGATGGTGTTTCCTGCTTGGCAGGGGGTTGGACTCGATGGCCCTTGTGGTCTCTTCCAACTCTATGATTCTATGATTCTATGATTCTATGATTCTAACAGTGGTCAAGAAAGTTAAATACCTGGGGATTAACATGACAGCAAAAAATGGGAATTTATTTAAAGATAATTATTAAAAATGTTGTTCAGTAGTTAAATATTATTTATAATTTTGGTCATATTTGAAGCTTTCACTGCTAGGCCGTATTGCTGCGATAAAGATGAATGTATTGCCTAGAATGTTGTTCTTGTTTCAAACTTTGCAGATCGTGGACAAAATGGATTGTTTCAAGAGGTGGCAGAAAGATATCTCTAAATTTGTCTGGCAGGGCAAGAAGCCTAGAATAAAATTTAAAATACTAACAGATGCAAAGGAAAGAGGTGGATTTGCCCTGCCAGACCTTAAACTTTATTATGAATCAGCAGCCTTTTGCTGGTTGAAAGAATGGCTACTTCTTGAAAACACTGACATTTTGGACTTGGAAGGTTTCAATAATGTATTTGGATGGCATGCATATCTATGGTATGATAAGGTCAAAGCACATAAAGCATTTAAAAACCACATTGTCAGGAAAGCGCTATTCAATGTTTGGTTAAGATATAAGGATTTGTTAGAAAACAAAACCCCAAGGTGGCTGTCACCAATGGAAGCGAAAGCCTTGAAAAAGGTCAATATGGAGGTCAAATGGCCGAAATATTGGGAAATTTTGGAACAAGACGGAGATAGACTGAAATTGCAGAGTTTTGAAAAACTAAAAAACAAAGTGCGAGACTGGCTTCATTATTATCAGATAATGGAGGCATTTAAATTGGACAGGAAAATTGGCTTCCAGGTGGAAAGATCCAAATTAGAAACAGAATTGTTAGAACCCAAAACTAAGAATTTGTCAAGAATGTATAACTTGCTGCTGAAATGGAATACTCAAGATGAAACGGTAAAATCGGCTATGATTAAATGGGCACAGGATGTTGGACATAACATTATGTTTGCTGACTGGGAACAGTTATGGACCACAGGTATGAAATTTACGGCATGTAATGCCTTAAGAGAGAATATTATGAAAATGATATACAGGTGGTACATAACCCCAGTCAAGCTTGCGAAAATCTATCACTTGCCCGATAACAAATGTTGGAAATGTAAAGAAACTGAAGGTACATTTTTTCACCTTTGGTGGACGTGCCCAAAGATTAAGGCTTTCTGGGAAAAGATATATAATGAATTAAAAAAGGTATTTAAGTATACCTTTCCTAAGAAACCAGAGGCCTTTCTCCTGGGCATAGTGGGCCAAATGGTGTTAAAAAGGATAGAACTTTCTTTATGTATGCAACAACAGCAGCAAGAATACTCATCGCAAAGTATTGGAAGACACAAGAACTTCCCACGCTGGAGGAATGGCAGATGAAACTTATGGACTATATGGAATTGGCGGAAATGACTGGCAGAATCCGTGACCAGGGAGAAGAGTCGATGGAGGAAGACTGGAAGAAATTCAAAGACTATCTTCAGAAACACTGCAAAATTAAGGAATGTTAGAGTGATGTTGGATTGAAAATAAGTGGTTTCCAGCTGTACAGGTTAAAGTTAAGGATAGATTAAGATTAAAGATCAAGATTAAAGATGTTTAAAGAAATGGAAATTTGATAATAAAAGGGAAAAATTTAAAGGTATATGACATTAAGAACAAGGATTAGGTTTAAAAAAGTTGAAGTTATATATTTTAACACTTAAATAAATTAAAGATTGGGTTTTAAAAAGTGGAAAAGAAACTGCTGGACAAATAATGTGGATTGGAATACAAAAGAGGGAGGTATGAGGAAGTCCAGAAAATAAGTAATTTAAAATTGGGAATGAAAAAGAGAGTTTGTTTTTAATTGTTATGTTTTGTGTTTTTATTGTTAAATTTTGTATTGTTTTTTTGTGTTTGTTGTTTTTCTTTTTTCTTTGTTCAAAACCTTAATAAAAAATTATTTAAAAAAAAAAAAGATCTTGTGTCTTCCAATACTTTGCAATAAGTATTCTTGCTGCTGTTGTAGCATACATGAAAAAAGTTCTGTCCTTCTTTAGCACCAGTTGGCCGACAATGCCCAAGAGAAAGGCCTCTGGTTTCTTCAGAAAGGTATATTTAAATACCTTTTCAGTTCATTGTATATCATTTCCCAGAAAGCCTTAATCTTTAGGCACGTCCACCAAAGGTGAAAGAATGTACCTTCAGTTTCTTTACATTTCCAACATTTATTATCGGGCAAATGATAAATTTTTGCAAGCTTGACTGGGGTCATGTACCACCTGTATATCATTTTCATAATATTCTCTCTAAGGCATTACATGCCGTAAACTTCATACCTGTGGTCCATAACTGTTCCCAGTCAGCGAACATGATATTATGTCCAACATCTTGTGCCCATTTAATCATAGCAGATTTCACCGTTTCATCCTGAGTATTCCATTTCAACAGCAAGTTATACATTCTTGACAAATTTTTAGTTTTGGGTTCTAACAATTCTGTTTCTAATTTTGACTTTTCCACTTGGAAGCCTATTTTCTTATCCAAATTATATGCCTCCATTATCTGATAGTAGTGGAGCCAATCTCTCACTTTATTTTTTAATTTTTCAAAACTCTGCAATCTCAATTTATCTCCTTCTTGCTCTGAAAAGGCTCAATATGTCGGCCATTTGGCCTCCATATTGAGCCTTTTCAGAGCTTTTGCTTCCATTGGTGATAGCCACCTTGGGGTTTTATTTTCCAATAAGTCTTTGTATCTTATCCAAACATTAAACAATGCTTTCCTAACAATATGGTTTTTGAATGCTTTGTGTGCTTTGACCTTATCATACCATAAATATGCATGCCATCCAAATACATTGTTAAAACCTTCTAGATCCAAAATGTCTGTGTTTTCAAGAAGTAGCCATTCTTTCAGCCAGCAAAAAGCTGCTGATTCATAATAAAGTTTAAAGTCTGGCAGGGCAAATCCACCTCTTTCCTTGGCATCAGTTAATATCTTGAATTTTATTCTGGGCTTCTTGCCCTGCCAGACAAATCTAGAAATATCTCTCTGCCACTTCTTGAAACAGTCCATCTTATCTACAATTTGTAATGTCTGAAACAAAGACAACATTCTAGGCAATACATTCATCTTTATCACAGCAATACGGCCCAGCAACGAGAGTTTCAAATTTGACCAAATTTCTAAATCTTTTTCACTTCCGTCCAACATTTTTCGTAATTATCTTTAAATAAGTTCCTGCTTTTGGCTGTCATATTAATCCCCAAGTATTTCACTTTCTTTACCACATTCAATCCTGTCTCATTCTGAAACCTCTCTCTTTCAATCGGTGTTAAGTTTTTCTCTAAAACCTTAGTTTTTAACTTGTTCAATTTAAAACCTGCTACCTGACCAAATTCCTGAATTAGTTCTAAAACTCTTTTAGTACTAGATTCTGGCTCCTGTAACGTCAATACTAGGTCATCTGCAAATGCTCTCAGTTTGTACTGTTTAACTCTGACCTGTATGCCCTTAACCAACCGGTCCTTTCTAATCATATTTAGCAAAACCTCCCGGACCGATATAAAAGCAGTGGGAAATTGGGCACCCCTGTCGTGTCCCTTTTTCTATCTTAAATTCTTCCGTAACCACATTATTTACAATTAATTTAGCCTTTTGTTCAGAGTATATTGCACCTATACCATTTTCAAAACCTTGGCCTACCCCCATCCCATGCAGATTCTTCTTCATAAAACTCCAAGAGATATTATCAAAAGCTTTCTCCGCCATCCTTTGTTCTGGGCTTCTTCCTGCTTCTTCCTTGTGGTAGTTTGAAGCCTACAGCCTGCTGTTTTGCTCCTATATTCTTGGCTGGTATCTTTGTTTGGCAATCCAGGTGAGCCTGGAAGATTTTCCTATAACAGTCATGTACTCTGAAAACATTGAAGAGAAATCCTCAGCTATCAGGAGAACATTCCCCAATATTTTGTGTGGAAGACCATTCTATCACTTGAGCCTCACTAGAATTTGAAGTACTAAAACCCAGATATGGATTTATCATCTCAGTGAGAATTAGGCCAGAGAGATGGGTGGAAAGTGTCAGTCAAGAGAAAGAGATGTCAATCTCTTGCAGCAAAACCAGCAAAACTTATGCGGCAACTTAGAGTTGCCAAGGGATTTGTAGTGCAGTAGGTAACCCTTGGGGGGGGGGCAGAGTCCGAATATTAACTACAGGCCTCTAGTCATTATAGAGTGATATTAAAAAACCAAAATCCTATATAAAGTGGTCAAGACATGGTTTTGGGGGGTCCCAGATTCTAAAATATGTACAAAGTGCAGCAGAAATGATACAGTAATCAGTGCAGGTGTAAACCTGTTTGAAATGGATTGAAATTTTCTTTCCCCATCATCTATAAGGTTCATCCTTACAACCACCAAAAATCAATGAGAATTACAGATGAATGAGAAGATGAAAATCTGTTCCAATGAGTCACCTTCCTGTTACACATTTCTTGCTGGCGGCAGAAGCTATGTGAGAGCTATCTTCTCTTCTAGTAGCATGTACTTGAATGAAGCCCAATTATGAACTAAACCAAGCTATACCCTTTGAATAAAGTCCCACCATGATAAACCAAAACACTATGTAGCATCCACTCTCCCAAAAGTAATTCAGACAAGGAACACAACATCAATTTCTGTAAACGGTAGGTACTTTTGATATGGCTTGTCATGTACAGCTTGTCATGGTACCATCGCTATAAAACCATTCCTATAAAAACCTTGTCAAATGCAATAAATCATCAGGCCTTCTGCTTCCCAAACATCTTTTAATCTCATAAACTTGGAGCTCTTCTATGGAGTGCCTGGGTTATAAATGCATTTAAAGATAATAGGCAGCTTGTTGCATGCTCTGAGTTCCAAAAGAGAACAGATTTTAATGGGGCAAGGAAGAAAAACAAAGTTTTCTAATACCACCCATCCATCAAAACCTCCTCACTGCTTAAGGGAAGCCATCAGGGCATGTGTGAAAAACAGTTTATGGCTTGAAGGAAGTTCTGGTGGCATTCCGCCCCCCCCCGTATAATCAGATTTTTCATCCCACTATGCAACATGCAGGAATTTTACTGTTCATCATCCATAGATCAGAATCGTCTTTGTATCAAAAGGTGACTTCAAAATAGTCCCAAGGCACAAGAAAACAGGGATACAACCCAAGAATACAAAATGCAATCTATTTCATTTCATTGAGTATTAAGAGAACTCTTAGCTTTCCCCAGCTTACATACCTAACATTACATTTTAAAAGCCTACATTCAGAGAAAATATGAAAGTGAGTGGGGTTTTTTTATCAATTAAAAAACAAAGTAGGAGATCATTGATGTCAAAGGCTGTGAGATAAGACAGTACAGTACACTTCGTACTCTGAACAATACGAGGCAGTTGTTATATCTAGAGAGAAAGAGAGCCTATAAAGAGACATTTTCAGAAGCTGCCTCTGTGATGTCATAGTTGTGTTTGATCAGCCAAAGCTCTCTGTAGCATCTAATCTACCAAAAGAGAATTCAGACAAGAAACACAGCCTCCGTTTTCTAAATAAATGGCAGCTATTTTTGATAAAACTACTCAGGTATATTTTGTTCATGCTAGATTAGCATTCTTAATGTTATTTTAGGCTTCTGTTCCTTAAACATGAGGAGGAAGTGTGCACAATCTAAACAGAAAGTAAGCCCAGGGCATAAACTTCAGGCATATGAGCAAAGCTAAAGCCACAAAATCTTCAGTGAAGGGAAGTTAGGTTGAGACACAGAGACTGGCCCAAGGCCACCTGGTGAGTTTCATTGCGGAGAGGGGATTTAAAGCTAAGTGTCCCTGCTTTTAGCTCACCACTCTAACCACTACACCACACTGAAAATGAAGCATTTCAAAGTCCCACTGGGTTCACTGGGGGAGTTGAGCACATGGTTCACTCCCAAATACATTTGACTTACAAGTGCCTGACTCTGGCTGGATTGTTATCAGGGAGCAATAAGGATAAGCCATGAAACACAGGAACTCTAGATTTATCTAGGGAAAACCCAGCATTTTTCTTCCATGCAGATATTACATTGCAAAGCTATTATGCATTTGAGGGCGAGTAGCTTTATAGTAACTTTTTAAAAAGAGAGAGATAGCTTTATTATTATCTTCAGGAAACGTTCCGTGGCCTCTGCACAATGACATGCATGCCCACATGTGCCAACTGTTACTTGGCCAGCCTTTACAGAGTGAATGGCAATGTGCCAGTCATACAATTAACTTTCTACTCGCTAGGCCCAGAGCTCATAAACACCTTAGGCCTGCAGGCTCACACTGACTGTCAACACCACATAATTGTAAGCCAGCTTTATTAAGGGGCCAGACCAACTGAAAAGTATATACCGCATTTAGTACTTTTCAGGGCTTCAGTCTTAATTAAAACCAAGTTTCTGCTGGCATGCACTCAGTGCTTTTTTTCTTTAAAAAATGTTGAGGGGTACTCTCATTTTCCTACTCATATTGAAATACTGCCCCTCAATGGGACCAAGCTTAGATTCACAAAATGTTTAGGGGTATGTGTACCCCTGCACCCCCCAGAAAAAAGCACTGCATGCACTTACTTAAAAGACTGTCAAGCATTACCCATATAAGCAAAAGGTAAACAATTGATATTGACCCATCCCATTGTGTGTAGGGACGCGGTTGGCACTGTGGGTTAAACCACAGAGCCTAGGACCTGCCGATCGAAAGGTCGGCAGTTCGAATCCCCGCGGCGGGGTGAGCTCCCGTCATTCGGTCCCAGCTCCTGTCTACCTAGCAGTTCGAAAGCACCCCTAAGTGCAAGTAGATAAATAGGGACCGCTTTCTAGCGGGAAGGTAAACGGCGTTTCCGTGTGTGGCGCTGGTGCTGGCTCGCCAGATGCAGCTTAGTCACGCTGGCCACGTGACCCAGAAGTGTCTTCGGACAGCGCCGGCTCCCGGCCTCTTGAGCGAGATGAGCGCACAACCCTAGAGTCGGTCACGACTGGCCCTGATGGGCAGGGGTACCTTTACCTATTGTGTGTCAGAGGGAGAACCCACACATATCCATTAAGTGTTGTTGTTTTTTTAAGTTAAAATATTCTAAGTTTTTGCTGGCATGGCCAGGGGCAGTTGAATCTGCTCCTTATAAAATATCATGTTAGGGAAAATATGTGGTGATGAAACATCATGGTATGTTTTCCATGTTTCCTGCTTACCCCGGAGTTTAAGCACAGCTTAGACGGTTTTCTCTCCCCACTACTCAGTGGAGAGACAAAACAATTAGTGCCAGTTTCTCTGTTATTCTCAAGAACCAAGCCTAAGGCTCGCTCTAGGGTTGCCATATGTCCCCTTTTTCCAGGACACATCCTCTTTTTCCATGGGTAGTGATCTATAGTTAAAAGTAGAAGCCAGCAAATGTGTCCTCTTTTTTGCTCTCCAAAACATGGCAACTTTTTTGCTCTACAAAACATGCCTACTTATTTTGCAAATGAAATGGGGAAGTCTGCAGCTTGGCCACGAGCCTAGTCAGCAATCCAGCAGCCGGTTGGTGGGAACGGCTGGACTGCCTGCAGATTGGCCTTTGGAGGCAGGCCTGGCTCTAGGGATTGCCCAGGGGGCAGGCCCCACCAGCCAATGGGCCTTGCATGGGTCCACTCCCTGGGGAATAAATTGAGATGAACCCAGCAATCCTCTTCAGTTTTCTGTTGGATCTCCCACCCTCCCTCCTCTTTTCCACATGCTTTTCTTTCAGGCTAAGACCCTGCTATGGACGTTGTTATCTACTATATTTGGTGCTGGGCAGGAATTTTTCCACTTGGCAAATTGGCACTGGTCATTTGGCTTTTGCCTACCTCATAGCAATCATTGTGAGGTTAGGCACTGGGTAACCCTTTGTCAGGGAACTGCCATCGGAGCTGGAAGCGGAGGGAAGGCTCCAAAGGGATGGCGGAGAGGGTCCCAGTAGGGAGAGAGGGAGCCCGTCTGCTGGGGAAGGAAATCAGCGTAACACCAGTAGAGAAGGGGGGCAGATGGGGGAATCGCGAGGAGGCTCCAAGACTCCTCGCCGGAGACCAGCGGAGAGAGTACGGGTACTCCACTGCCCACACCCTCCCTGCGCAGAAGACTTCCGCGCAGGGAGAGTAGGAGGAGACTTGGCGTCAAGGAATTTTTGTGCTGGAAGAAGTTTAAGAAACGCCCACTGACGGATTCTGCCAGCGACTGAGACAGTCACGATGCTGGAGGCTGTTCAGTCAGAAAGGGTTAACCAGGTAACTTAGCCAGGAGTGGCGGCAACTTACGCACGAGCAACCCCTAAACCCACTACAGCAATCCGCCAGTCACCGACGTTGCTTGTGCGTAGCTCCAGAGAGGCAGCACCATGAGCCAGACCGGAGGGGCCGGAGAGACGGAGCAAGCAGCTGCAGTGCAAAGTCTGGTAGAGAGAAATTGAGATTTGGAACAGCATGTAGCTCTCCTGACGGCGCGGCTGGACGAAAGACGAGCTCAGGATGCTCAGGTCAGACCCACCCCCATCGCAAGGAAGGTACCGGGGCTGGTACACAAGTTTGGGGGGAAACCCCAGGACTACAATGCGTTCCGAACGGAAATAGAGTACGCTTTGGAACTGCAGCATGATGACTTTGCTAACGATGAGCAACGGGTGGCCTACGTTGTGGGGCATCTGGAGGATGGGGCAAGGGAATGGATTAGGCCCCTTATGGCGACGCAAAATCATGCCTTGAAGGACCTTAAGAAATTCTTTCAGGCGATGGATGCGATGTATTCCAGTGAAGTCCAGCAAAGTGTGACTCGGCGAGAACTGATGGGGTGCAAGCAGGGGAGCCAGTCAGAGACTACTGGTCGCGCTTTGCAATGTTGATCCACCGTCTCGGGTGGGATCTGGACTCTGAACCTATTCAAATGTTGTTTGAGGAGGGGTTGTCCCCAACGGTGAAGGACGAGCTGTCCCACGCGCACCGCCCGCAGTCGATGGATCAGCTGACCAAGGCTGTGCTTGCGATTGGAGTGAGGCAGGAAGCGCGGGCTCAGGAGAAACGCGAAGTGAGAGGGGAACGTTGCCATGACTACCGCATTCCTGAAATACCAAGACAGCTTTCCCAGGTGGCTGAGCCAATGGAAATAGATGGCGCGCGCACGCGCGTGAGGTTTCAAACTCCAGTGAAGGTCGCAAGAGGGAGGGGAAGGATTGGAAAACCACCAAGTGTTTCCTCTGCCAACGGCCGGGACATTTTGCAAGGGTCTGCCCTCAAAGAAAGGCCTGGCAACGGATGGTGGGGGCTGCTGGCTGTGAGGAGAAGGGGGACGAAGGGCAGGCGCAGGGAAACGACAGCGCCTGGCTGCCAACCAAAGGGGCCAGCAGCCAGGCCAGCAACCAATAGAAGTGCCCCAGCCTGACCCCCCCAGGGCAGCGATAGCCATAGCAGTGGTGCTAGAACTCCCGAATGGGCACCCAGTCAAGGTTGAGGGGATGCTGAATTCGGGCAGCTCCTGCAATTTCTTTAGCAGGGACTTCGCTTTGGAGCACCAAATACACTTGCTACCCCTGGATTTTCCCTTGCAAGTGACCACCATCGGTGG